ACTGCTCCAAGGAAGGTGACCAAGAAGCCAGCCACCAAGAAGCCAGCCACCAAGAAGCCAGCCACCAAGAAGCCATCTGCAAAGAAACCGGCCACCAAGAAGGCGGCGGCGAAGAAGCCCGTGGCGAAGAAGGCGGCCAGGAAGGCTCCCAGGAGGGCAGTGAAGAAGGCGCCAAAGAAGAAGTAGAGTCTTTCCTTTTTGTCCAGCGGTATCGCCCTGCGGGTCGTCTCTCCGGTGCACCTGACAGCCGAAGTGGTGCTCTTCTGACTTGTGGGGGCGGTGTGCTGTACATTGCCCATTACTAGATGTTTTTGTTTTGTTTGTTTGTTTCTTTTGTGTTCCTCATCGCCAGTGATGGCGAGCTGCGGTTGTCATTCTTCCGGGTGTGCGTCGCTTGCGTCTCCGCGAAGGTGTTGTGGCAACGAAGTTTAGATTGTTAGTTTATTTTAATTTTATTTTTGGGTTGCTGTGTAGAGCTGTGTATGTGAGTGTTTTTGATTTTGTTTTTTGTTTGTCATTGTTATTGGTTTGTTTAAAAAAAAGAATATCTTTTTTTTTTTTTTGTATATTAGTAAAAGGAGCGGGGACTGTTCTTAGTTGTTCTCGTTTTGTGCGAGTTATGTCGCGGGCGTTGTGCAGCTTGGGAAAGGATAGTTTGTTTAGTTTTTACTGCCGTTGTGTGCAGTTTTTTCCTCATCCGTCGAAGCAGGAAAGTGGTGGGGAGGATGCCTTTCTTTCTTTGGTTGGGGTCCAAGCTGTATTAGACGGGGTGAGCTGGTGGAAGGAACATACTGCTGTGGATGCGGGACTGTATAGTGCGGCTCTTGCGCGAGCCATGTATGCTTACGTTGAGGAGGAATTGTTGGGGGACAACCCACCTTCCTCTTTTGCGGTTTTACAGCGGGCGTACGATATTTGTAAGTCTGACGAGATTGAAGGAACTGCAACAGCGTTGGTGGCAACACTTCAGACCCCAACTGCGGATGAGGTTGCCTTAATGGGCTTGCGAGATAGGCAGAAGAATTGTATTTTAGATGTCTGTAGTGTTGGGGATTGTACTGCGCTGGTTGTTCGGCGAGGCAGGGTTGTTTTCATGACGGAAGAACAAACACATGACTTGGACTTTCCGTACCAGTTGGGGCGAGGTAGCAGTGACACGCCTTCTCGTGGACTGAAGTACCGTTTTCCCGTGGAGTGTGGTGATTTACTTTTTCTGGGTAGCGATGGTGTTTTTGATAACGTTTTTCCATGTCGTGCCGCGGAACTAGTGTGGTCACCACTCAATGAAGTTTGCTCACGGCATTCACCGGGAGTGCTGGCGACACCGCGGACAGGGAGACGGATCGAGTTCTTTGAGGACTTGACGCGCGCCATCGCGAAGGGCTCTGAGGATGTTGTACGGGAGGCGCGAAACTGCGCGAGGGAACTTCATGTTGACACCCCATATGCACGCAAGGCGGTGGCGGGCGGCGCCTACTACGAGGGCGGGAAACAGGACGACATGACATTTTTGGTTTCTATCATTGGCGATATGGACTCGGACTCCGGCGAACGCACCATCCGCAGCGCCGTGATAAACCCGTACCCGTACCGTGACTGGCCATGAGGGATGCAGTGATAGTGAGGGGCGGTGCGTCGGAACTCTGAAACCAGCAGTAAATAGGGGTGGGGGGTGGGGGTGGAAAGGAATAAGGAAACTGAGGAGTTTTATAAATACATCAAACAAAACTGAGGGGAGGGGGTATGGAAGTGGATGTGTTTTTATCTCACACCATGTATGATCGCCTCTCTTTCTCTTTCTATCTCTCTATATATACATGTGTTTGCCTGTACATTTCTGGACTATTAGAAGGAAGCGCGGTGGAGCAGTGAATATAAGCTTGGCACCTACATAAACATGTCTCCGTGATGCAAATCGATGTATCTCCGTCGTAAGACTCCGGCATCACCTTTTTTTTTCTTCATTTTCTAGTTTGTTGTAGGTTTTTGAGTATCGCCAGCTCTTTCTACGGCGGCGCTGTGCTGGACTTCAGTGTGTGGTTTTGCCTACGTGTGTTTCCGTGCCTGTTTCTACCTGTGGTGTCTTGTCATTCTCCCACTTTTATTTTTTGTTTTCTGTTGTTGGTGTGTGTGTGTGTGTGTGTGCGTGCATAGGATTTGATTATGCTGTGTGAGCGGCTTTATGTCTGTTCATTCTCGGGGCTTGTCCTTTTCTCCTTCTTTTATCTCTGTGTTTCCCCCTTTCCCCTCCTGTATGCTGCTACCGCAGCTGCAAGCGCCACTCCCCTCGCGATTGTTTATATTAGTGTTTCTTCTTTTGTTGCGGGCAGTGGACTTGTCTACTGTGAGAACGGAAGGAGAGTGAGTGCCTGGGCTTGAGCAAGTAAGTTGGGGCAAGTTTTGGTGCACCAAATGAAGAATGACCGAAAATATGATGAAGGAAGAAACAACAATGAAAAAAGGTAGTGAACATTACAGAAGGGGAAACCCTGTTGACGAAATTACGTCGGTGTTGGTGTAAAGGCTTACCGGGCTCCTGCTGTGCGGGTACACTTAAATACCCCCACAGCAGTGTGCGTACTGACATATGTATTTGCTTTTATAGATGCCAATTCTTTTTGACTGTCGTGGCTTTGTATAGAATTTTTTTTCCGTTTAATAAAAAAAAAGAAAAAAAACGAATGCGTTGTGGTTGTCAAACACATATTTCTCTGGGGAGGATGTTGAAGGTTCAGGAGCGGTGTGGGGTGAGTAGGGAAAGGTGCGCTGGAGCTGCTTTCTCTTTCAGTTTTTTTGAGCTTGATTCGCATTTTTTCCCCCTTTTTTTCTACGTGAATGATTGGACACTCTATTGACCGCAATTCAAGGTTTTTTTTCACCTCGTGCTTCTATACCTTGTTTCTGGGCTGGTGCGCGTGCGTGCGTGTGTCTGTGTGTAGAGGGGTTCTCCCGCTCGGGATGGTGCACGTGAATGCATATTAACCAAAATAATAATAAACAGCGAGGTAAGCTAAGGGTGAATGTGTGCGTGTGCGTGCTTACGTCGCTTGTGTGACCATATATATATATATATATATATATGGATATAATATATACTGGGCCCTCCTGCGTTGGCTTTTTTTTTGGTTTTGTTTTGTGCGCATTTCATTTGCCTCAACACAACGCCCGCATGCTTGTTTGTTTTGGGTGTGTTTACTGGAGGGGTTAGAGCGGATATCTTTTGGGTCTAAAGCACCTTGTTTTCTCTGTTTTTTGGTGTTCCTCGATTTCGTGCCCCTGCCGTCCACACGCCGTCACACTCCGTGTGTATTGAGAGGGACTCCAGGGAGAGCGAACGAAGAAAAAGGAGAATGAGTGGATGCGGTAGGAAACATCGCGCGAAGCACCTCACGCGTCAGTTTCTTGATGCAGATGGATGGAGCGGCCCTGCGCCCGGTGAGTCGATGGCGGTGTGCGTCGAGTCACCGCAGAGCCAGCATGTGCGTGTCCTCCTTTTCAATTCCGACGGTGCTGCCAGCAATAATGGAGACGTGGACGACAATGGCGCTGTGTTGCCGGCGGAATGCGTTGTTTTTGTCCCCGGAAAGTTCCGCAAGGTGATTTGGCTTGCGGTGAAGGACGTCATTGTGGTGGCGGATGGTACTACCGTAGCCTTCAAGCCGTCGCCTGATCAACTGAAGACGTTTTTTCGTGAGAACCCCGAGTGGAAACGGCGTCTGTCTGCAGCGCAAGAAATGGTGGAGACGTGCAGGCGCACAGTGGAACAAATGCCGCAGTATGTAAAGACGACACACACGACAACCTCCATGTTGGCTAAAGTCGCGGAGGAGGGCAGCGCAGGCGCTTCTGCCGATGTTGTGGAAGGTGGGGAGGACGAGGAGACGGGAGACCTGAACCCCAACAGGAACAACATTCGTCACAAGGCGCAGTTTTTCTACGATAGTGAGGGGGAGGAGGACGAAGAGGAGGAAGATGAAGAGGAGGAAGAGGGTTAAACGGAGGCATTTACCATCTTTTTGTATTTGGAAGTGGTCCTCTGCCTTTGCTTTATTAGTGTGGCGAAGTAAGCGTTTAACACGGGCCTTTTGTTTGTTTGTTTCTTTTTTTTTTACTAGAAGAGAAAGAAAGAAAGAGAGAGAGAGAGAACGCAGGAGTGCTTATGAGAACCACCAAGTCGATGAGTGGATGTGGTGGTAGCTCTCATCTTATTGATTCAACTTACATACATAGCTGCTTTTTCTCCTTCGGGTACATATGCGTATTAAGTGGCGTCTATTTCCTCTTTTCTTCCTTGTGGTTTGACTGATTTTTGTTCTACCGCTGATCACGCGGACTCACACGCATTATTTTATTGTTATAAGCATCAATTAGGCCTAGACTCCAGCGGTGGATCGAATACGGGAAAGGAAACGGAGTGGCCTTTGTTGCCCCTACCTATTTAAAGAACGTTATTAACTTTTCAGTAGCGGGATTTCCCCTTTTTTTTGTGTGTTATTTTGCTTGTGCCCTTTTTTTGTGTGCATCCCGCGCCTCCTTCATATTTGTTTGCTTCCAAGAATGGAGCAGATATGCCGAAGCGCGGCTTCCGGTACCGCGGAGTCCTCCTCACTCTCCTCAGTTTCGGTTGTGGGTGATGAGTGGGTCAGTATACGTGCGTACTTCATGGAGGTGCAGGCCGCAGCGGACGACGTGGCATTCGCTGAACTTGCTGGCCGTTTGCCACAGGTAGAACGTTCGTTGGAAGTAATACAGAAGTCACTTGTGCGAGAACGGCAACAGATGATGCTCCCCAGGCTTGTGTCACAGTCTCGAACAGTGGATGTATGTAATACAAACAGCGTCAGTAGCAGGAATGGTGTCTCCATGATGCCGCAGGGATCGAGTTCTTTGAACCACAGCAGTAGCAGCACCAATTATTTTAGAATCAAAACCAGCACGGATGGGGTCTCGCGATTACCGCCATGTTATGCATTTCTTTGGGGTGAACTATCCTCCACATCTCAGGAGGAGGGGAACACCGAAGCAGAGGAGGAACTGGCCCCCATTGGGCATGTGTTTCTTCTTTCCTTGTGTCAGTTTGCAAAACACAATGATCCACCGGGTGCCCGACGTATTATACTTAGATTTTTGACTCGTGTGTTTGCTGAGGCGGATCTTCCACGGCCACCCTGCATGGGGGACCCACCGCAGTCGTTGTTGCAGTTGTTCCCTAGCAATACAGTTGTGCCACTGATCGATATGCTGCGCCAGGTGGTGGCAGTGCTTCGACCAAAAACGGCAGGGGAAACAGAAGCCTTGGGAACGTCCTCAACATCCTACACCTCGGAATCAAGCACGGAAACGATGGATAATGAACGTGAGGCGCTTCTTGGCCTCTTGTGTGCTTTGACGGAACGGATGGAGGAAGTTCCTGCATTGGGGATGTTTTTTATCCCCGAGGCTGTGACCGATGCACAGGAGGAGGATGAGGAGGAGGCGGACCCGGAGAGTGGGCCTGATTCACCCCCAACTGTAAGATCTCATTTTAGCATTCTGCAAGAATTGCTGGTGTATGCCACTCTTTGTCAAGGGTCTGAGCAGTCAACGAAACGGTGTACCATTTATCAACTGGCATTGCAAGGACTGCTTAGCCTTGCCAAGTGCCCTGACCCACAAATCCAGGATTATGTTAAGAAGCAGACTGTAGTGGCGTCGGCAACTTTAGTTGGGGCCCGATCAACGCTTCTCACGTTGTGTAAGCTGCCTTACAAAGACGACACTTTTGCACAGCTCAAGTACCTTTCTGACGTACTGCGCTTCTGGTCGCAGCTCTTACTATTGTCTCCTGCTGTGGCGGAGGCTTGGAGCGTAGAGGCCATGATGGAGAGTAGTTTCGTTTGTGATGCGCTTGTGCCGCTGTTTTGTTCAGCGGAAGACAACGTGTACGCTACTGCGGCACTAGTAGCGGCCAAAACTATGCGTTTTGTTGGTTCATCGCCTCCGCTTTACGTTGCAGCTGTAACGCGCGCGTTGCTAAACACACGGGTTGATCTTTTGACGGGAAATCCGGTGCGATTGCCCGTTTCTTCTAACGAGGTGCCTTCCGCCACATCCTCAACGGTGTCTCTTTTAGACTATGCTTTGCTGCCACGTCTTGCAATGCGGAACGATGGTGATTGGAGCTGCACAGAGGTTACCCTGTACCTACTAGAGACCTTCGCGCTGCACGAACCAGTGCTCTTTATGGAGTTTGCATTTTCTCTGTCCATCGCTGCACTCGCCGAGGTGTATGTAAACGCCCTTCACCACAGTTTGCTGTCTAAACCTAAGCTTACAGCTATCAAACCGCCCCTCTTTACTAAGGTTGGGGACAATACGGCCATTACGAATCCTTCGCCAGGCAAGGCACAAGATGTGGACTGGCTTCAACAGTTTGCATTCAATCTAGACCTTTCCGCTGCAACAACATCTCCCTCGCTGGACATTACAGACTGCTTTTCTGCACGGTTACGAGCTTCGAGGGGAATTCTGCTGAGCACTCACGCAGAGGACATTGCGGAGGAGATCCTAGCTCGTCTGCTGCTTGTGGAGAGTCATGTCCCTGTGTGTATTCTTGAGAAGCGACAGCGTGTCATTAATCGTTCCTGCAGAAGTATGGGAGAGGAATTTGTGGGTTTTGTGCTTGAGGGTGGTAACCCTGGGGGTGCGTTGCAGGAAACTTCTTTCGTTTTTCCGGGCAAAAAGTTTGCAGAAGGTACACCCAATAACATTTGGTTTCACACCGGAGTCCACCAATCATCACTTGTGGGGCGTCTCTGCGAGATAACTTCGCAGATGTTGGCAACACCCTCTAGTGTATGCACACTCTTGACCCAACTGTGGTCCACCATCTGTGTTCTACCGGACTTTCGCGTCCTGTACACGCTCATGGACTCTGAGCACGGCCAACTCCGTCAGGCCTTATTTAAGCTGCGTGACGCTATTGATGAGGCACTCCAACACGACGAAGATGTGGTGTTTGCGCTTGCGTCTGCAGCAGCTGCTTTTGCAACGAATACGAAGAAGAAAGCAAGGTCCGTCGAGGTGGGGTCGGGTGACACATTTCCGGCTGAAGGCAGTTCTCCTACTTCCCTTGTACACAACACTGCCTCGCGTTTCTACACACGCGCCTACTTGTACTCGCAGTTCATTCAGCTTGGGAATTCGCTCTGCTGGGTGAAGAACCTCGTCAAAGAGGACTTTCCGAACCACGAGCTACTTTTTGCACTAAAGAAGCATAGAGGTTTTCTTGAGGCATGTGCATGTATTGAGGCGTTTCGCATGGAGCTGGACGCAGCGATTGGTCATGTGGCTCTTTCTCACAATCTTATGTGCCTCCAAATAGGGAAGGAACAGGCGCAAAGAGTTCCCTCTTAGACTTAGCCACATGACACCGCGAAGTACCATTGCTTCTTTTTTATTTTTTTATTTTTCGGTTTGTGTTTCAATGATTTACTTGTTGTTGGCGGTGGTTGCCGTAGATTTGTGCCACAGGCAGACGTTTTTATTATCATTATTTTATTATGGTCTTGTATTCTGTGGCATCTCCACGATTCTGAGGCAGGTGAACTTCATGAAGGGGTTTCTGTGTTCTGTTGCTTGCTTCTTTGAGCTGCCTTATTTTCTCATTTGTGCCTTTCCGATTCTCTTCTTCTTCCTCTGTTTTTTGTTGTTGTGAGTTTTCTTCTTTCGGTTGCCCTCATCCGCTGTGGGGTTTGGGGTAAGACCACATGGATGGCGGCAGTGAGCAACACGGAGGCACGCGCATCCTGGAGCTAGATGGCGCAACACTGACGTTTGACCAGTTTTGTGAGTGCTGTCTCAAACCAAACTTCCCCGCCATCATTCGCCGTGCTGTTCCCGAATGTGAGACGGACTCAACGGGGTGCTTTTGTTCCTCGCTGGAGCGAATGAGGTCACGCCTCGCACCCAAGAGCCTGATTGACGTATATGGGGAGGATCATCGTGTCCCAACGGCGGAAACCGTGACTGAATCGCCCTCTAATGTTGACCAAACTGAGTACATGTTGTGCCGTACAAGGTCGTTGAGTGAGGTTATGAAGTGCTGGCGCCAGAATGAGAGAGTGTTGTATTTGAAGGACTGGCATATGCAGCTGGACAGTGAGTCGCGTGCGACGACTTCCGACACTTCTCAATTGAAGATGGCAGGGTTGAATAAGGAGCAACGTGTCATGCACGGCGATGGTCTTTATCAGGTTCCCGCATACCTGGGTGACGATTGGATGGATAACTTCTGCCGGCGCTCACGAGCTGACAAAGTACATTATCACCATTTTGGTGGTGCAGATAGTGATTATCGTTTTGCATACATTGGGCCGCCTTCCAGCTGGACACCATTACACTTTGACGTGTTTGGAACGTACTCCTGGTCACTAAATGTGTGTGGGGAGAAACTGTGGTACTTTCCGTCGCCAGAGGGCAATCAGCGTCTCCTGGAAAACAGCTTCTATGGTCTGATGTTGCCTATTGACATTCGCACCACTACAGATGCTGAGCTGTGGGCAGTTCTGCAGCGTCCAGGGGATCTTGTGTTTGTACCAAGTGGATACCTGCATCAGGTTCATAATGTAAGTGGCCCACGCTTTCCATTACCCCTGAAAAACGCCGTGCGGGCTGAAAATTCGGTGGAATTTGATACATCCGAGAGTTTAGATAGTACAGAAGCTGACAGTGTTGCCTTGGTGATTTCTATCAATCATAACTGGTGTAATGAGTGGTGTGTTACGCGGATGGTGGAGGCCTTTTGTCGCGACGCCAATCGCATACGACAACTCTTGACGGAGAAGGATCGTATCCTGCTTTTTGGCGACGACCTCGCGGCGTGGCACGACCATGTGGAACAATTGTTGATTGGAGGCACCAATTGGAATTTTGCCTGCATCCGTAGTTTCCTGAAGCACGGCCTTGCTAGCCTCAGCACGCACGATTCTGGGTGTGGTGCGCAAGAGCGCCTGCGACGCATCCTTGAAAAATGCCTTGGTGATGTTAATGCCATCGAGTTGCGCATCACTCACATTTGTAGAAAGTGAGACATCGGTGTTGTGTTTTTACGGGTTCCTTTCGTTAGGCGTTTTTTTTATTATCTTGTGGGTGTGTGCGTGTAGATGTTTTTTTTTTTTTACTCCCCACTCACATCTGTCGGTGGGTCATGCGGATTACAAGTAAGACCACTGTCACTTCCGCTTTCTTCACAATCACACACTGCGCAGGATGTGTGTGCACCAAAAACTGTTGGCCATGGAATTAAATGTTTGTTTCGTTTTTGACTCTTTCTGGCCTTCTCTTCCCGCTGACGTTGACATTTTGTCTGCGCATATTACCGCGTTGGTTGGACTTGTGATGATGCTGTGATATAAGGATTTTTTTTTTGCCTTGCTTTTTTTTTTCTTTCGTTGCAGTCCACAGAGGTTTATGCGTCATGGCTTCGTTTTGGGATCTGGTACGGGAATGGGCAAGGCCCCTCCATATTCCTAATATTTTGCAGAGTTCCACCAACGGCGTGCGCAGCGCTCTTGTTCCTGTCTTTGCACGTCGTCTGGGATTGACAGACAGCCAGGTGGGCTTTATCATTGGCTCTGCAGGTATTGTTAAGGTTCTCCTTGATGTCGCCTTTGGATTTGCCGCCTCTCTTCATGGAACTCGCGTCATTATGATTGCCGGCATGTTGCTAAACGTTCTGGGTAGCATTGTGGCGATGTTTGCATTTTATTCTGCGCTTCTTACTGCGTCCATGCTTTGGGGTGCGGGTGTAGGCTGCTTCTTTGTGGCTCGGCAGTTCTTTGTTGCGAGGGCAGTGCCCCGCTCCATTCGTGGTCGTCTTATGTCTTTGGTTGGTGGTTTTACACGTTGGTGCGTCGTCCTGGGGCCAGCCATTGCCGGGTTGATGATAGATTTTGTAAGTGTTCGGTTAGCCGCATTCTCTATAGCGCCAATAAGCCTTACTTGCGCCTACATCGTGGCCACGAACGAGAAGATACGTGCTGTGGATGAGGAGATTAGTGAAGGAAGAGAGGATCATAATATTTCCAAGGAGTTGAGTCTCATGGTGGTGGCGTTACAAAAGTACTGGGATATTATTATACGCATCGGTGTCTATTCGTTTAACCTCGTTTGTCTGCGGCAGGGTCGGAGTATGTTGCTGGCACTTGCAGCAATTAATATGGGGCTTTCGGCATCTATGGTGGGCCTGGTTTTAGGATCCTCCTATGTCGTAGATGCCACTTTGTTTTTCCTGGGGGGGTATATCGTGGATAAGTTTGGTGAAATCTACACGACAATTCCTACCTCAGTGAATCTGGGTGTCGCATTCTTGGTACTTGCTCATGCTAATACTCTTGCTACATTGTTGCTGAGTGCTGTCTTGTTTGGGGTTGCAGACTCTACCGGATGTGGAATTTTGATGATACTCACCGCCGAACACTCTCCTCCCAGCGGTGGCGCCTCCTTCATGGGGCTGATGGGAACGGTGCAGGACTTGGGGCAGGTGGTCGGGCCTATGGTTTCTGGCCTAATTATGGAGTACTTTGGTTTTGCCAGTGTGTGTTACGTCCTGGGCGGTGTTGGGGCGCTCAATGCCCTCTGGGCATACTTCATGATCCCTGCGAAATCATGTACTCGCGTGGAGGAGGAGGAGGCAGCATCAAAGATAATAGACCCCGTTGCCCCCGCCGGCGATGCGACAATGGTGGTTGTGGAGGCAGAAGAAAGAGAGGCGGTTCCAGATGCCGAGGATGAGGGTGCCATACATTTGTTAGTAGATGAAGAACTAGAGGTGAGTGACGCCGAGGCTGGGAACGAGGTGAAGAAGATTGAGGTGCAGGAGAAAGGATGAAGTCTCGTTTGCTGTGCCTGATGATATTAAGTTATTGCTTCTAGAGACGAGTGGGGCGTGAGCGTAACAACGTTAGCTTCCTTCCCATTTGCTGCGTTGACGAACTCCGGGCGTGCTGCTGGAGCCTTTTATCCCAAGTTTCTTGTTCTCATGCAGTGAGGATTGATGTGGGAAACACGGGACCCGTCTCTATTTTTTCTTATTTGTGTATTTCCTGCGGTAATGCTGATGGAAGGGCAAACGAGATCGCAATAGTCTCTGCTTTTCTGCTTAATGACCTTTTTTTTTGTGTGTGTGTGTGTGTGTGTGTGTGTGTGCGTGCGTGCTTCCGAGTGTTGTTGGAGACAAAGAAAGACGGAGGCAAGGAGCGAGGGAGAGCATCTGTAGTATGTTATTTTGCCGTAACTAATCTCCTGCTTAATCCGTGGAAGTTGGCAGCAATGCTTTTGGTTTTGGTTTTAATTTATTTATTTTTTATGTTACTGTGCCACAGTTTGTGGAATTGTAAATTGATGGTGGATCCCAGGAGGAGAGCTCTTACTTTATGTATCTGTCCGCCTAGGAGGGGTGTGTGTTTGCCTTTGGAAGAACATGTAGCAGAGGTTCCTCAACGAAGGAGATGGGTGGGCAAGGGCACGGGAGTTCTCGGCAAGAGCAGACGGGGCCTGTGGTGAACAATCACCAATGCCCAAGCGAAAAACAACGTCAGCAACACCAAGAATGTATAAAAAATTGAAAGGCAGTAATAAAATTTACCCGTCACTTTTATGGCGGAAAGGCGTGACTCTACCATCTAGTGATGCTCTTTGCCAGTGGGTCTGTTACCTCTACGATTTGAGGTGCTACTTCCTTTTCTTCCTTTGAATGTGAATTTCTTTCTTTCTCTTTTTTTGCAGCAACAAGCGTAAGTGTGAGCGTGTGGCCTGTAGGATGTCTCTGCAGGCGCTGGGTTGGCTGAGCTCCAAACTTGGCATTAACATTGACGGTCGCGCAGATGCAGAGGAAAGGACTGGGTCAACTGCCTCCTCCTCCCCCTCTTTCCAGCGCCTGTCCAGTGCTGCCATGACGTTTGATATGTGTCTGCACAAAATTAATGGTGCGTTGTTTGGTTGCGACAGTGAGTTCGGCAGTGGCGGTGAGAACAATGTCTTCACCCGTAGAAGCGGCGTTGGTGGAACTAGCGGTGGAGACGAGGTGGAGCTGGATGAGAACGGCCTCCCCCTTACAAGGAACTGGTACTACTTTGATAAGCAGTTGAACCGCTGGAACGTAAGCCCTGATGCCCCCGCGCAAATTAAAGAGGAGTATGAGCGTAGGCTGAAGGAGGAAGACGACGAGCGAGAGGGGCGAAACATTCTTCCGCCACCGCCGCCGCCGCCGCCGCCGCCACCGCCTCCGCCTCCACCACCAGTCCCTTCATTCGCACCCGCAATGCCGTCTGTGCTGGGGGAGCATCCCTCCATGTATCAGGGATGCAACACCTTTTCACCTGGAGGGCCGCCATCGCACGAGCAACAGAGTTCGTATTCTCAAGGGTTATTTGGCACCCAACCGCTAACGGGGTCTTCGCTTCACCGACCGCAGTACGCCATGCCAACCTACTTTGAGCTGAGTACTCCTGCGCTGCATGTATCGACGACACACCCATCCACACCGCACCAATCTACGCACCAGCACCCACAACCACAATTCCAGCCCCAGCCAGGGAAGGACTTTTATACACACCCATATCAAAACCAGGGGGGATACACGCAGTTTCTTCAGCATCAGCAACAACAACAGCATGAACAAGGAGGACAATATCAACAACAACAACAAACACTACAGCCGCACGCCGTACAGCCCTTACCAACAACGGGTTATGTTATGGGCGATCAGAATCAGTTTTTTTCGCCTTCACTTCATGATTCGATGCCGGGATGTTCGGTGCAGTACCCTTCCTGATGTAGATGGGGGAAAACCATCGCCTAAGCATTTTCTTTTTTTTTTTTCCTCTTTTTCCCTACGTATATAATTGTATATAGGCTGTTATACATGTATAGAGGAACAGGAGAGAAAAAAATATATATGAAGAAGTGCTGCTCGTTTACCTTCCTTGTGAGCCCCTGGCAAGGCTGATGTTTTTCTGCTTGCATTTACATTCAACCTGAATGGATAAAAAGAGTCAAGCACAATTCGGGCTGTTTCCTGGTGTTTTTTCTATGCTCTTTGCTTTGGGTTTTCTCCCTGCCTATTTGTAAATATGTCTTTTTAAATATCTTCTGTTCTCACTTCTTTGTTGCCTCAATTTTGGGCGTATAAGATTCACAATAAGAGGAGTCTTGATAAATTTAGTAGCTTAGAAAGGGGGAGTTTGGAGCGAGCACATTTTGTTTTTGTTTTTGTTTTTGTTTTTATTTTCTCTTGAACTATTTTTTTTTTCTTTTGTGCCTCCCAAAATGATGGAGTTTGCACAAAATGATGACGCCGAGGAGGACGTTTATGCCGCCTTCGAACCCGAGACCGCCAATGCGTTTGACGCGTCCTCCAGAAACTTTTCTGGCGTTCAGGGGCACGAGGTGGTTGGCGGCGGCAGTGTCGGCGGTGTAACAAATCCACTGATGCAGGCTCCACCGTCAAAGTGGGGCGGTACAAGCATGGGATCTGCTTGGGGCGTTCCAGGGAGTCGGCTGGGCACTGTTGGCGGCAACGTCGGGGCGGCCCGCCCAATGACGTCCAACCGTGGGGTGGGTTTTAACGCCAGCCCTGCACTGTTTAACAACGGCGTCATGTTTGACCCCACGGGTCAGGGTCGGGTGGCGATGACGATGGGTCCTGCACCGCCGTTGAAGAAGCGTGGCGAAAACAGTCCCGAGGAACAGTGTGCGGAGGTTGAGAAAATGATCCATAAACTTATTGAAGAAAGTGCGGTGCTAGCGTTACAAAAGGACTACGGTGGGGCACTAGAGAAGGCCAAGGAGGCAGGTAAGAAGGAGCGTCAATTGTGTAAGCAACGGGAACAGCTTGGACTTGCAGATCAAATTAATGCCGATCTAACCTACGCGGTGCACTTTAACCTTGCTGTACAGTATCAAAATCATCAACTTTACGCAGACGCCCTCAATACGTACTCTCTCATTCTTCGAAATCTGCAATTTCCACAGGCCGCTCGTTTGAGGGTGAACATGGGAAATATACATGTTGCTCAGGGGAGGTACCTTCTTGCCATTAAAATGTATCGTTTAACACTTGATGAGACACCTACAGCTTCCAGGGAGCTTCGCCACAAGTTATTGCGCAGTATTGGTAACGCTTTCGTGAAGCTTGGTCAGTACCGTGACGCAGTTGTCAGCTACGAGGCTATCATGGAGGGCAACGGGGACATCAATGCAGGGTTCAACCTGTTGCTCTGTTATTATGCTCTTGGAGAGCGAGAAAAAATGAAGCGGACTTTTCAAAAGCTTCTCAACTGCAAAATGACGGGTGGCGAGGAGGACGAAGACACGGATGATGAGAAGAAGGATGTTCTTGTCGACGATGCGCTTCGCAAGAAGCTCAAGGAGGATCGAGCCCACTTTTTGAATTGCATCATGACTGCCGCTCGCCTTATTGCCCCTGCTATTGACAAGGATTGGCGTGCGGGATACGACTACTTAATTGAGCGTCTTCGTCACTACGATATGCGTGATTCCGCTTCCCATGTGGCAAGTGAGCTAGAGATGTGCAAGTGTCTTTACTACTTGAAGCACAAGAGTTACAGGGAGGCCATCGATGGCTTGAAGGCTTTTGAGAAGAAGGATAGAATGTTGCGCGCCCGGGCTGCGACAAATTTGGCTTACCTATACTTTCTTGAGGGCGATTATGACAGTGGTGAAAAGTACAGTGACATGAGCCTTGAGGCCAATCGTTACAATGCCAAAGCACTAGTCAACAAGGGAAACTTTCTTTTCATGAAGGGGGCCTATGAGAAGGCAAAAGGTTACTATAATGACGCACTTGCCGTAGAAGCCGACAACATTGAGGCCATCTATAACCTTGGACTTACAGCCAAGCGTCTTGGCCTCTATGAGGAGGCCCTGAAAATGTTTAAACGGGTACAGTCACTGGTAGACAGTCATGAGGTGGTGTACCAGATTGCCGACATCAATGACCTTGTGGGCAGTCCAAATGCATTGGAGTGGTTCAGTCGTCTCATTGGTCGCGTTCCAACAGATCCAAATATTTTGGCGCGCATGGGCTCTCTCTCCGCTCGTGAAGGGGACGACGGTCAGGCCTTTCACTATTATCTAGAGGCGTACCGTTATTATCAGGTAAATATGGATGTTATCTCGTGGTTAGGTACCTACTTTGTCAAGAACGAGGTTTACGACAGGGCCATTCAGTTTTTTGAACGCGCCTCGCAAATTCAACCTCTTGAGGTGAGGTGGCTGTTGATGGTGGCATCATGTCATCGACGTCATGGGGATTACGGGCAGGCCAAACGTTTGTATGAGGCTGTGCACCGCAAGTACCCGGAAAATATGGAATGTCTGCGATACTTAGTTCACCTGTGTAAGGATGCCGGCCTAATTGACGAGGCCAATGAGTGGTTTAAGAAAATCAAGAAGCTGGAGCAGCGCCAACAGGAGAAGACGGATGATGCGGGGTCCCAGGATGAGGATGGGGACGTCAAACACGGGGCGCGCACAGCCGCTAGTCAACGCGTCGTTGCTTCTGTAAGCACTCGAGGGGGTGACATGATGGAGGATGAGCTGGACGAGCCACACATTGCCTTCTCTGAGGTCAAACCAACGAACAACGAGGATGACGGTGAAATTGACTTGCCAGGGATTTGATGTATAGTGGGTGAAAAGCGAGGTAGGCGGTGAGTTGGGGGGGCGGGAGAAAAAAAAACAAGAAGAAAGCCTAGCCTGTACCATTAGAGAGAAGCGTTGCGCGGGTAGTTGGAATGTAGATAGACTTTTCTGGCTTTAGAGGAGAGACCAGAAGAAAAGTGCGTATATATATAAAAAAAAAAACACTATTCCATTTGTTCTCTGCAAACGCGAGGATGGACGTGCGCATCTCTCTGTGAGTGGTGCATGAAAAGAGCAGGGATGAACGTGAGCAAAGGGGGAAAGGAAAAAGGAAACAAGTGGGGTGATGGGTGGGGGTGGGGGTTAAGGGGATACAAGAGAAAGTGGAGGGAATCAAACAAACAAAAAAACAACAACAGAAGAAATCATCAACAACATTAAAACATATTGGTTCGTAGCATAGGTGTGATTTGCGATACGGTGCTGTATGTGAACTTTGCAAGTGTCTCACTGATGCGAGGAAACCGACTAATGGAACGGAGAGGCTTATTAGAGGTGTTGTACGGGGTTCGTGTACACAGTAATACGCACCGTTGAATTGAGTTGCTGTTCTTCCGCTTTTTTTTTTTGAATTGTGTTAATGTGTGCGCCTTTTTATTTTTATTTTCATTGGGTGTTGTCACATTGTAGATTGTGCAGCTTTCTTACGCGGAACCTTTGTTTCTCCATTACTTCTTCCTTGCATTTATCTATGCATATGTGTCATTTACTTCCGTGGTTGTTTTTGTTTTTGTTTTGCTATTTGATTTGTTTCCTTTCCGCAGTACTGACTGTGCCCTCTGTTTCTCTGTCCCATTTTCACTTTTTTTTTCTTTTGCGTGCTTACCTTTCTTTTCTTTTTGCCACTGCAACCTTCTGTAAAAGTCATGCTCAACACAACCCACACTGACGCTGACGCGGAGCACGTGGTGGTTTTTGTGTCCTTCCAAACGGCTCTATTTGTGGAGGGGTCAGCGTACACAGCGGAACTTGGGAACTGTGTACCCGTTGAGGGGTACTTCATGGTTGTCGCTAACCCTTGGGGACCGAGAGCGACATACGAAGTGATTTACGATAAAGGGTTTGCCTATTCTCCGTCAGTCAGACTGTTTACCGGTATAAAGAACTGGACAAGGAGGATTACAGATCGCCTTACGTTGAAACATGGCATTTCGCCACAGTTGCGAAGACAATGTTTAGAGAGATTGCCAACAAAACTGCATGTCTTGAGGTCTATGCGGGCATTTGAAGAGGCTGTGCAGAAGACGGATAATTCTATGATGTTTGTCAAAAACGAGACGTTGCCGCTGGTTTCTCAGTTGGAATGCGTACTAGATGCTGTGCAGCGTGTTAAAAGACGAATTTGCCCCACTGCATCAGAAGGCAAAATTGTTTTTTTGACACTTCGAGAGCGGCTTGATAGTGTGCACGCCTCAATGCGGTGGTTTGGTAGTGGACTCGCTCAGTTACCCCCATACGCGGTTGTTGCATTGGAGGATCTTATTCCTGCCTCGGAGGACTTAATTGAATTGTATGCGAAAACCGTCCGGTCGCTGAATTCCAATAGGTGTGCCGTGCACCCCACGAACCATAAAAACTGTTCTGGCCTTCCGTACAACTGCTGCCGTGAAGATGTCCGTCTGCTTCAACATGTAGGGGAGCATCTTATCGACTACCTTGAAGAGGTCGGTGCGGATGGTTTGCCTAAGCTAGTTGTCCCACCGAAAGTTCATGTATCGGACGGTGATAGTTCAACTGACTAGGGGTGAGGCTTAAGCTTGCTATGTGTATATACCATTGCATTACTGTCGTAGGCATACACTCACACATACGTACATGGATGTATGCATAGACCAATGAAGGACAGAGGGGTTGCCTTAGCACACGTGTGTTATTATTATTATTGCTTGAGGCAAATCGAATGAGTCCAAATTATATGTGTGCATTAAGCGGGTAATTATTTGTTTTGCTGTTTGACTTCCTGTATTCTTCCCATCCCCACCCCAATGATTGGTCCCCCTCTGCCGTCACGACCACAGGGTTGGTGAGAAGAGCCTTGATAGCACCGTTTTTTTTTTTTGGCGTTCTTTTGGCAGGCTTTCTCCCTGCGCTGGGCTCCACCACGCAGCGGGGTGACAGAGGTTGGGAATAATAGTGGTTCAGGAGAACTTGTGGGTGACGCATTTTTTTTTTCTTAATGTGTGTATATGTGTGTATGTGTGGGACACTCAAAAGGGGAACCCGTTATTCTGGCAGTCCGCCCTTTTCAAGGTGGGAGGGGTGAGGGGACGAACGAGCTATCATCACAAGCCCATTTTTTTTTTTTGTATTCCTTTGGCTGTTGCCTTGAAGTTTCTTTGTGTGCTGCGACACGAAGATTTGACGAGGACTGTCACTTTATACATCTATAATATATATATGTATATTATTATTATTATTATGCTTTACTGTGTGTTTGTGTGCGTTGGGTAGGTGGGGGTAAATTTTGATAGTGTGGTGGTAGTATCTAGGCTCTTACTTGGACAGAACAACATATGCAGCCACAACAACAACAACAACAGCCACTGCCGCCGGGATTCCCGTTGGTTCGCTCGCCATACCGAGCGACGGAGGCGCAGTTCCAGGCCTTTGTCCGCGGTTTGGACGCTGTTCTGAATCAATGGACCGCGCTTCACCTGGTCGCACAGCACTGTGATGGGCTGGCTCTTCAATCTATGTATCAGGAGCTCATTGCTTGGTTCCTGTCCGAGGGCGAATTATATTCTGATGACCTTGAAATTTTTTTTGAGAATTTTTTTACTGAGGCGCGCTCCGTTGTAATCGAGGACGATAGCATGAAGGAGGTGGGGGACGTGCTGCATGAAATGTACTGCCGTTGCTGCCAAAACGACTTTAGCCTGGTGGAGCAGTACTTGGCGAGCTGGGAGGTGTACCGACAGGTGAATCCAGTGCGTCTTTCGGTGGATGCCGGCGGCAACGACGACGAGGATGGGGTAGATGATGCAGTCGGCGCTGTACTGGGCACAGAGACGCAAGATATGCATCCGACCGCCAAGGAAGCGGAGGAAAGTGACGGGATGATGCCAAGCGCTCAGCAGAAGCCATGGAAAAAAAAGGGAAAGAAGAACGCCTACGAGCGTGACAGTGATGGCTGGTGCACGGTGCAGCGCTAGGCACATTGACACCAAAAAAAAAAACATTAAAAAAACCATCTTCGATTAATTAATTATTTTTTTGTGTTTACACCTTCATCCCGTTTTCACAGCTTTGAAAGGTGAGTTTGTGCGCCGGCTCATGGATCGACTTCTTATTACTTCACCTTGTGATTTTCTTGTTGTTTTTTCCTTCTTCTTATCTACGTTGCTCACATGTATGGTGCAAGCAATTCGAAGGGTAAAGCACACACACACCTGCTTTAATATATATAATATATATATATACTTATTTCAGCTGGGGTAAGGGCTGTGCAGCCATATTTGCATAACAAGGAATCAAATACAGGGCGCGACTGGTATAACATAGGAGCCCAATTTTTGTTTTGTTTTTGTTTCCCCTACAGTTGTTGCTTCATTATTCCCGTTAAATACTTGTTTTGCCGCTGCGTGGGGAAGGGGAAGGGGAAGGGGACAGTAGGAGTAATAGTAGCATTTGTCAGCAGGGGAAAACAAAACGAAGGTAGGAAAGGGGAGGAACAAGAAGAACAGAAAAGGCGTAGGGAACATTAAGAAGTCGGGGGAAATCATAAACAAAATAATAACGATCTATGCTGCGTGCCGTGTCCGGCAGAGCTTTTCTTGCGCGCGCCGCAGGGGCTCGCTGCGTTGCGGGAACTGCAGGTTTTCAGAGTTTACCGAAGTTTGAGATTCACGACGTCCGCGACGATCCCGCACTGGGAACCATGACGCGTGTGGCGGTTGACGGCAAGGCGTTGTTGATTTCCCAGTACCCGCAGCTTGGGCCGCGCAAGGTGGACCCGAACGATTTGAGCCCGCAGTTTGACGCGGACCGCCGCATCTCGGTAAGGTTGCGTCACGTGGATCTTGCTGCGTTGGTGTGCGTTTGCCAGAGCCGCGTGCCAAAGCACGAAATGGCGACCAGGGCCTACACCCTGGTCTTTGAAAAGTCGGTGGACGGTTACCGCCTGCACGGCAAGATTCATCGTGTGGCATCGCAGAAGATGGAGGATTGGTCAGTAAACTTTGACAAGCACTTTGCCGTGACGCTGGATCACTTCCTGGAAAGCGCCCTCACGGAGAGTTTTGGATTTCGCCAGCACTATGCCGTGCGGGTCTCTGAGGGTGGCGCACAAGATGCCGACACCGCTCTAGGAAGCGCTTCTCGCAGACAACAAAGGTTGAGGAACGCAGAATCGGCACAGCGTGGGTGAGTGGAGAGAATATTAAACTTGTTGGCGAACAGAAAACAACGCCAGGGAGGGAAGAAAGGGGCCGGAGGGAAAATAAACAACAAACAGATAGAAAGGAATAATGGTGTTGGAAGCTCCAATTTCGTACCTGTTTTTTTTTTTCTCCACTCTTGCATTTTGCCGGTGTCTTTGGGCATTGTCTTAATCGCTTTCAGTGTTTTTTATTTTTGTGTTCAGTGTGCTGCTGCTACTTGACTGGAGCCTGTGTGTGCGCGCGTTTTTCTTACTTTTTCATTATTTTTGTTTTCATTGCGTATGGGGTTGTCTCGTTTTCCCTCAGGAACTTCTTCTGTTATTTTTGTGTGTAAATTTCTTTTTTTTTTCACCGCTTTTTTTTTATTTTGTGTATTCGTGTGCGTCGCCCTCTGTGTCGTTCCGTTATGCATATGTGGTTGTGTGCCTCACTTTCCTTGTGTGCGGCCAGCCATATTGAAAGGCGACAAGAAAAAAACATAACTCAACGGCAGCTTCATTACTATTCTGTACGTCTTGTGGATCCAAATATATACAGTATATAATAAGCATATATATATATATATATATATATATATTATAATATACATAACATAAAGTTCTATAAATTTTAGTTTTTTTTTTTTTATTTGTGTGTGCGCGCTCGCGCAAGTGTTGCCGAGAAACATAAAAATTAACAAGCATCCATGTGGCGCAGGTGCATTAAGTTTCCCGCTGGATTTATCGCTCCTGCTGTGATCGTTCGCAGCATTCATGTGCGGGATCTACGCACCCGTGTGGAGATCAGCAAGGGAAACATGACGTACCCGGCGGTGCTGCTCTGGCGGTGGAAAAGCAACCGGCAAAAACATCTTGTGCTTAGCGTGCAGTCACCCGATAAGGCTGAGCTTGAGTCGTCAGCACTGCTCAAGTCGCGGTCGTCCTCGACGTCGTTGCCCTACTTCCGCAGATTACTTCTTTGGCCGTGTATTTCTTAGGCCATATCACGTGGCGCAGCTTCTGGCAGTGCTGGAGGGAAAGTTACCGCGGGTGAAGTTACTCAGGGAACACTCATCGCTTCTTCTTGAGCCTGATGCTGTGTCTGGCTCAAATGACGAGTCTGGACGCAGAGGCGTTAATGAAGCAAAGGATACTTCGACCGCATCACCGTCGATTTTTTCGCTCTCCGGGAAGTTGACGTTGAAGGTGGCCGCCACTGGTCAGCCACCGACTGCGGACTATGAGTTGCTTCAGGATGGTGATAACGAAACCGGCGAAACCTCCGCGGATGCAACGTATAATCTTGACGATGAACGCAGTTTTCGAGCAAAGTTACAGGATGAGGACCTGATTTTTATCATGAAGCACCTTGAAGCTGTACTTAGCGATATGTTCCGAATCGAGCACCGGTACCACGCGTTAGTGCTCTTGGATTACATTTGCAAGCGTTGCCAATGGAACGGTTGCTCCTTTGGCCAAGATGATCTTGACGCTGTACTTAGCGATATGTTGGAAATGGAGCACAAGGGCCAAGCATTCGGGCTCTCTAACCTCCTTCGCAATAATCCCCAATGGGGCAGTTTGTCCTCTGACCAACAAAATGACGCAAACTTGCAACCAGTGCCGCGCTACAGGAGCGAATTGGTGGGTACGTCAGATGTGCAGTTACCTTCGGGGGTTTCAGCGACGGCAACAACGAGGGTGGCCTCATCATCGATGACGGAGAAACCGACATCAGAGAAAAGTACTGTTGTTGGCGACTCGGGGTTGGCGGAGGTGGCAGGATTGACTGGTGGGGCCCTTGGTGCTGTTGCGGCACCACTTGTTAGCAAAGCAGTTCCGATGGCACAATCTGAGGAAAGCAAGGTGGAAACAGTGGGTCCAAGTGATGCGGGAGATGGGATTGAGCCTCCATACGGTGACTCCTACACGTCGGAAACAACTGCCGCGCGTTGTGTTGTCCACGATGAAGAGCACGACGATGAGGAAGATGATGAAGATGAAGGTGAATATGAAGATGATGAGGATGAGGAAGAAGATGATGATGATGATGAGGAAAAAGCGATGATGTTGATGATGATGATGATGAGGAAAACGCGATGATGATGATGATGATGATGATGATGACGATGACGATGACGATGACGATGACGATGACGATGACGATGACGATGACGATGACGATGACGATGACGATGACGATGACGATGACGATGACGATGACGACGATGATGAGGGTGAAAAAGGCGAGAATAGACGAAAGATAAACATGACATCGATGATGAAAAGGGCGAAGAGGAGAAGAATAATAGATTA